TGGCGAAAGACTTCCAGACACTTATGTAAGTGGCGAGAGGCTATCAGAATCATTACGATACCCGCTAATAGAAGTAAAGGATCGCCCGATTCTTCTGCGGTCTATTTGGATCATCTCCTCTCACGATCGTCGCTGCTGTCTTCTCAGACATGTACTCCAACGAAGTCCGCGGTGTCGCAGTCGCCTGCTTCTCCGCCACCATCTTCTGCGGTAAGCAAACCAGCGAACGCAAGTCTTGACCCGTGTCTAACTCCTTCAGGTCCCTTCATGGGCCCCTTCATCGGCGGTTTCATCACCAACAGCTACCTTGGCTGGCGCTGGACGGCCTACATCCCAGCTCTCATGGGCTTCTCATCCTGCATCTTCGCCTTCTTCTTCCAGAAAGAGTCATACGGGCCTGTGATACTCGTGGAGAAGGCCGCCAATTTGCGACGTTTAACGAGAAATTGGGGCATCCATGCTAAGCAGGACGAGGTCGAGGTCGACCTTGGAGAACTACTGAAGAAGAACCTGTCGCGTCCGATCAGGATCCTGTTCACCGAGCCTATCATCTTGCTCGTCACAATCTACTTATCTTTCATCTATGGCCTGCTTTACCTGAATCTCACCGCCTACGGACTGGTATTCGGACAAGTCTACGGCTGGGCACCGGGTGTGAACGGACTGCCGTACTTTGGACTGATCATCGGTGTGTTCATCGGCTTTCTCAGCATCCTTGCCACGCAGCCGGGCTACGTTAAGAAGCTCAAAGCGAACAACAACATCCCGGTACCGGAATGGAGACTACCACTTACCATGGTTGGTGGGATTATATTCGCCGCCGGGTTGTTTTGGTTTGGATGGGGAGGGTACAAGGCATCGACTCCGTGGATCGTCCCAACCCTCGCAGGTGTTTTTCTTGGATTCGGCATCTACGTCGTGTTCCTGTGCTGCTTGAATTACATCATTGGCAAGTCGTCCGAACCCATTCCAATCAACGAATAAGCGCTAACGACTGGTATGAACAGATGCATATCTCATGTTTGCAGCTTCGGTAAGTTACATCATCGATCGCTACATGTAAACAGGAATACGCTCGCTAACCAGGAGACTCTGTCAGGCCATCGCAGCAAACACCATCATGCGCTCCCTCTGTGGCGCAATCTTTCCTCTATTCGCATACTACATGTTCGAAGGCATCGGCATCCAATGGGGCATGACGCTCCTCGGCTGCCTCGCCACGATGTTCATTCCTATGCCCTTCGTCTTCTACTTCTATGGCAAGAAGATTCGCGCGAAGAGTAAATTCGCGCCTGCGCCAGATATTCAGCAGGACAAGCGGAGGGATGAGGAGGCGAGGATGGGTGGCGATGCGGGTTTGAATGGAGGGAGTCCGGATGGGCAGGCGGCGGCGAGTGGGAGTAGTCAGAGTGAGGACGCGGAGAAGGCGAGGAAGGAAGAGGTGTGATTTCAGGTACATATGGATTTCGTAGATACTTCTTGAATGTATACATGCATACCGCCAGGAACACTACTGCTGTCACCCTAATAGCTGATAATTCTCACTTCAGACATCGACTGCGGTCGGGAATCGAAGCCATTGGGATTCCGGGCCGAGTTTGGCTGTGTCGGCGATGTCCAGTGAGCCCGACTTCGCCGTCTACATGCACCTCGAGCTTCTAAATCACAAACGCAGTCGCTTCCAGCCCCAGTGCAAGAGGAATATCGCCCGCTACATTAGCTGTCCTTCCCTCCCCGCCTGGCCGTATCCCGACAAACTCGTCCCCGAGGCAGAACGATGGGCCTCTTCCGCACAACCTTCGCCATAGCCGGCTACGGCTCCCTCGCAACCGCCGCCTCCTGGCTCCTCATGACCCGCCAATGCACCATGCGCGATATCCCGCGCTCAGACTACCTCTTCAACCACACGCTCTACGCGCGCTACAACCCCAACAACGCGCCCGTCACGCAAGATATCTGCGTGCGACAAGTCCCGCTGAAGAAGATCAGGCCGGAATTACTGGAGGGCAGGGAGGACGGGAGGCTGGTGGATGCGTTTTGTCAGGGTATCTGGGGAGGGGTGGGGTATGCGTACCAGAGGAGGTTTCTGCAGAAGAAATATAGGGGGGCAGAGACTGCGAGTCAACTCTGGGATCGCAAGGATTTGTCGGTGAGCAAATATGAGGTCGGGACG